TAGAATAGTTGAGTTGACTGGATTGTTCTATTTTTGGACATACAGGAGCTTCCAAGGATGTAGGTGCCACATTAACAAAGATGGTTATACGACACCGCAGTATTGAACAGAAGCTTCGAGTTCTTTCTGGGTATGGTATTACAGACCAATGTAATAAAGACTAGTGTAGTACAGTTATGGTTCAGTTCATTTGCAGTGTTATCATGCAGATGGTAGTGAACCTGCAGTTATCTGAGAGAAAAGATAATGTTAATTATTTTTATTATGTGTAGTAAAAAAAGAATTGAGGGATGTAGGTTAATTTTCTCCCATCAGTGTCAAGCTAAAACCAAACTATATTTCTTCACCATTGTGACAGAATGGTTCACTGAAACAGCACGTGTAGTATAACATAATATTCACAAAAACAATGAAATAATTTGCTGATGAATATCTGTGAGCACAAGATTACATGCACTTAAGACAGACTTGTAGCAACATGAAATTCTGTTCTTCTTTGTTAGTTTGTTTGGTGACAGCCTTATCGTTCCTCTGCAAGAAAAGATTGATGAATGGAAAAAATCTGTTAACCATTTTGATAAAGAAAACTCAAAAGGTTTGGCTAATTTGTAAATGGAGAAGATTTGAAAGCACATAGGTTCTTCCTGCTGTAGCTGTATTAACCAACCATTCTAGTATCAAGCTTTTGCATTATTAATTAACCTGTTGCAGTATTAAACTATTAATTAACCATACCAGCTGTTGCAGTAGTAACTAACCTTTCAGTATCAACCATTTTAAAAAGTATGGTATGTTCTTATACTTTTTCTATTTTTCTCGATATTTAGAATACAAGCAAGCAAAACAAGATTTAAAGAAAGTTGGTTCGGAAACAGTTCGGTTACGTAAAAAAGTGAACAAGAAAGGTTTGTGAATAGCTTTATTTTTCTGTGTATACAGCCTAAAATGTTCCCTCTGTGCTAAGTTGCATCTAACTTTGTCTTGAACTTAAACTAAGTTTCATTTTGTAGGAAAGTTTGGTCAGAAGGAGCGACTGGAGGCGGTCATGAAGGTAACAATGGAAACAATGAATTTCTTTTCTTGAAAAAAAATTGTGCTCTTCTACAACTTGGTTAACCCCCTCCATCTTCCATCATGAATACGACACCACCAACAATATTAGCTTACATGAGGTGGAATATTGACAGTTTCTTAAATATTTCAGATGGCAAGTGCCCAGTTTGGTGTTTTTGAAGAACATCAAAAACGTGCTTTGAGAAAAGTTTTGATTGAAGAACGTTCACGTTATTGCATTCTATTGAACTTGTTTCAACCAGTAGTGGTGAGTGGCAGTCTTTATTCCAACCTCGTACCCAGGATCTTTCTTTGGGAAAGACCCTGGCTGCGGCTGGTCACGTGCTTCATCAAAAATTTAGCGCCTGAGGGGGTGTGGGGAAAGTATCAAATTACATCAACATGCTTCCAGTGGGATATTCGTTAAAAACATAGATTTTGCGAATTATTACGTTCAAAATCCTTGCTAATTTTTGTTTATTTTCTTTGCTTTGAATTTACAAGAACATTGTTACATTCTTACTTACAGTCAAGTCAAGAAACCAAGCAAATCGTTACTCGCAGTGCTCTCTCGTGTTGTTATTCAATGCATGCTCTCTTCACACTCGAGCGCGGTTATAACAAACCTTTGTTGTAATGTTTTTAAAATAGGTCATTACATTTGTCCTTTCTTGTAAACGTTGATACGCTTTGCACCGATTCACTTGTTATTACGTGTCTTGTTTATAAGATTTTTAAAAGAAACAGTATTGTCTAGGACTGGCCCAAATATTAGCAAATGTAAACATTTGATAATAGCCGAACAGAGAAATGTCCATAAGCATAGAGGAAATTTCAGTCATTGATTTATCTGGATTTACTACATAAATTCGTATTCGGTAATTATAGTAAGACTTTAGCCTTTTTCTTGGTCTCTATTAATCATTATATTGTGCTAATATACTATAATCTATATCACAAATTTACAGTGTCAGATGCGCACAGACCGTCATTTGGCGTCATACGAATAGACATAAATTTTCGAGTTTTCTACTTCTACTAACATTTTTAAAGTATTCATTGTGAATCACCTGTTTATCTCTAATTCATTAATCATTTGCTACTTATATTTATTTGATAGTGTCAATGTCATATAGTGAATAATGCGTTTACACACAAGCAATCCTGGATATGATATAGACGATGCAAGCTGTCCATTAAAAAATAACGGTATTCTATTTCACAAAGCAAAAATTTAAATCTCACTTGTATATATTAAGAATGCATATAAAGCAAAAAATTAAAGCTTATTCATGTCAAAACGAAAGCTGTTTACAAAATTTATAAAGGTGGTGAACACTACTAAACACTGCTCATTGAAAGACATGTATAATATAGTGACATATAATTTGCCGTTTGACTTATCTTTGGTGTATGATTTTAATACCGTAGATTTTCAACAGACAGCTATACTTTGACATATACCATGATCGTTGGATTCAGCAATGCCAAGGGCCAATTTTATAGTCTTTTGACGGGCTTTAAGTTTTTTGATGAGGCCTTTATATAGATCAACAATCTGGATACAGTTGGCGATATTTCGGAAATCAAAAGATCTCGCTATTTCGTTGCAATTCCACATCTCATCAATAAATAAATTCTTTTGGTCCGAGTATCAGGATAAACTTTAATACTAAATAAATAACAACCACACTGTTTGGTCTAGAGATATATATTTTCTTGCAGGTTTAATCACAGTTTAATATTGCCACGCTGCACAAGCGGCAAGCGTGCTTTCTTTGGCAAGTCTATAATGAAATCTGATCCAACTTGCTTGAATTGTAGCTCGACACCAGATTATAGAGTAGAACGTCACGACATAAATATTAATTCAAGAGTTCTCTTTATAATTACGATTTCTTGTTGCAAATTTACAGTAAATTTCATCACCCAAAGTTGCAATTTTAAAACGCTACAAACACTCTCCTTTCCCACCCCTCTCACAGTTACAATTAAATTTACCTCCCAGAATCTGGGAGGCACGTGACCAGCCGCAGCCAGGGTCTCTCCCAGATGACAGACGGAGAGACCCTGGGAACGAGGTTGTCTTTATTCTTGACTGAAAAGTGATTTTTAAATTTTATACAGTTTCTGTGTTTTGCTCTGACTGATTTATGATTTTTGAAGCCACCTCTGTAAAACGCCAACTATGATTTTTGAAGCCACCTCTGTTCAAATTTTGATGTTTGACATTTGAAGTTTAAATGCGAACGAATGCACGCAGTTACGTAATCGTATTATTTTGCTCATACAAATCATTGCAGTATTATCCTGGTCATACAAATCATTGCAGTATTATCTTGCTCATACAAATCATTGCAGATGCAACTTCTGTGATCTCAGTAGGAATTTTGCGTTGGTAAATTCTACGTTTAGAAGGATTTGTAAGAAATTTTGAGCAAATTGACTTAGTGTTAAACACGTCAGTTTCCGCAAATATTTTTTATATATCCCTCAAAACTTAGAATTTACCCATGCAAAATTCCTACTGTGATCACAGAAACTTTGACAGTGTGAACCAGCATTAAGACCTTCTAACAAGGTGTATATAGCTAAGGTTTCTTTTCTCATTCCAAAAGGAACAAGAAGTATCGTTACTAAGTGATGCAGAAAATTTATCTGCGTTGTTGCAAGAAGCTGCAAGACAATGCGAGAAGCCAAACAATTTGCCCGACGCAGGCGAACACATGATTGAGGACTTCAAACTTTCTGAAAGTGGTTTCCTGGACGAACAGGTAAAATACTAAAACTGTCTGTACCAGTGTAGGTAGTACCAATGTGAAAATGCTGTGCTGAGTGGTTATATTAGGAGGCCCTTCGTCAAGAGTTAGTAGTCTCTCGTATGTATGCACTTGTCACTTTCACCTTGCTTTCACCAGTCAACTCTAACTGGAGTGAGACGTGGAGCGAATGCTCCTCCACAGGCCCTCGTTGTGTCATGGGAAGGTCACGATGTCGAGAGGGCCTGCGGAATCTTGTAAAATGAATAAATGTTGTTTTAAACCTGCTTCGTTAAAGAAGGCAGTTATATTCGTGCAACGTCGCTGTGGACAACAAACCTTATCGTTAAAAAATGCTTCCTTCCACGTCCTTAGAGTCGCCATTTTAATTTACAAGTTTCACGCCGCTTTTTATATCCTGTTTATATTCAAGATTATGTATAAATTTATTTGCTGACGTGACGCCGGCGCCATTTTTTTTACAAGATTCTATTAATTGAAATGAATGTAACTAGAACACTATCTTCAGATAAACTGCCTATCTTTTTCTTGAAGCCCCAGACACGCGTGTTTATATCATGATTGACTGATTAAGCGCTCTTTGCATGCGTGAAAAGACTGGGACTGGCTTCAAGTTTGGCTTCAAATTTCCGGTTGGAGGTAGCGTTCCAGTTATATTCAGTTCAATGGAGCTATTCAACGTCAATTCCGCCATCTTGGTTTCACTTTTTGCATGGGCCGAATGACTGAAATTCATGCTCCAGATATACAGAGCTCACTGGCTTTCACTCGCATACTAACAATGGAAAAATAAGGGATGGCATTTACTGTTCATCTAGGGAGAACAGTTTTAGAACTGACAGAGTGAAATTCTTATTTTGTAGCTCACCCCACCAAGCAGTCCCAGCAATCACCGTCGACAACATTCCTACAGCGTGTCTTCAGGAGCATCGTCACGCTCCAGTTCGCCCTCGTCACGCGTGGGTTCTCCAGAGAAAGGAACACTGACCCGCAGTAAGAGTATGTCAGCGGCATCCCACAGACCAGCGCCTCCGGTACGACGGTCCAGCGTGCTCAGTCCACAACGTGAGAATTACATGGAGAAACATTTAGGAATGTCTCGGCTTTCAATCTCCTCGCAAGATTCCGCTACCAATCAATCTTATTATTCATCGATGTCATCCCTGGATTCTCAATCTGTTGATTATCTCCCCCCACCCCCTGCCCCAGTACTTCCACCTGCTCCCCCCAGCCCAAACCCCAGTGAAGTGAGTTTACCCCCACCCCCTTCCATGGAAGAAATATTGCGAGGTTGGTAATGATTGGTTGGAAATTTTACATTTCACTGAACTACGTGCCATCAAATATTTGTATTACTGCAAGGGTCTGGGGGCACGGTCCCTAGTGGGTACAGGTAGGGTTGGGGGTAAGTGGGCTCCCAGGAAAAATGGAAAATTTTGAGACATTGTGAGGGGCTGTCAATTTTTTTGGTGGGTGCGTACGTGCCCTAGAAATTCCGTCTATGTTAACTAAGTCTATGTTAACTAATGGACAACTTGCATGTTAGACTAAATTTTAATCTAAGCAGAGAAAAGGGAATCAAACACCACAGCTAAAAAGAACATACTGAAATTAGTAAAAGTGCAAAAATGGTAACAAAAATGGTAACAATTTCCGCACGTAATACAAATATACTGAAAATATGCAAACTTTGCAAAGCTATATTTTCCAAGCTTTACAACATTTCGCAACCAAATTTTGCAAGTTTACTAATCTTAATACGTTCTTAACGGGAATTTACTTTTTTTGGCCTAGATCGGCTAGATCAAAAATATGTCTAACATGCAAGTTGTCTATTGTCGTTTCATCTCATTTCCAGAGAGAGCTTGTCAGAAATCAAGGACCGTAGACTCCGGCTTTTACTCAAGCATGTCGTCATCACTGGACAGATCACCGTCAACATCGCTGGCTCAAGTGCCGTATGACGACAACGACAGTGGACACTATGAAGCGGTAGTACCCTACGAGCCCGGTACCCCCGGAGACCCAGACGGATACTATGAAAACCCTCAGTACGTCTCCCCGCATGTGAAGACATATCGCAGTAACAGTGAATCAATGACGTCACGTGTACACGGAGTTCACTTCCAAAAACGTAGTATGAGTTACAACGAGGCTGAAAGGTTTGATCGAAATGACATCGCAGTACAACATTTGAGACGTGTTGCTTTTCAGGACCCAAGAGTTAAATGTTTTGATCTTAAGACGGATTTAAGCGCACAAATTGCGGCAAATGCGGCAGAAGTCGCCGCGCATTTTCAGCGCAAGGATGACAAAGACGACTCGCCAGTTTCGCCAGGAAAATGGCGACCCCCGGTGGCGAAAAAGAATTACTTTTCCCCACCAACTTCTCCGAATCACTCGCCGAATTTCGATCAATTCTGGAGGCAAATGGAAAATCCTCGTCGAGGCGTGGATAACGAGTTCTTAGATGATAATTATAAAGCACGTGATCCTAGTACTGAAACGACTAATAGTTTTTTATCTCAGATACAGCGACAGAGATCTTCTATGAAATACGTGGCGAAGCATCAATAACCTTGAAGGTTGGCTAGGTTTGAACAACACCATTCAAATATTGCCCTTACACGTTGGTTGTTAGGCGTATGATTCAAATATTGCCCTTACACTTTGGTTGTTAGGCGTATACTGTTTTGACACGTTTCGGATATATTAACTTTTTGGTCACGTCTCTGTCCTTATTTCCACTGTCAGACTATGATGTTTAATTGTTGGTTAGCGTTTGTAACTTCTCTCTGAAGTTTGGCTAACACTGTCGAAATAATCAGCACATTTGGAAAAGATGCTTGATGTTCTTCGAACCTGAATTTGTCTTTTTTTAAAGTTCTTCAAAAGTGTGTGAAAACAGTCGAAGAGTTGACCATATATAACGAAATGATGTTGAATATGAATTATTGAACCACACAAAGTCAAAATGATTCCTTAGGATGTAAAGTATGTTGGAGAAATTGAAAATATCAGATATACAAGATTCTTCACGATCATAGTTTCCTTTGTGTTTTTTTCGTGAATTATTATTAATTAATAAACAACTAAAACACATCAGCAACTAAAGGAATGCATTTACACTTGCTTCGTATAAAATTATCTTGCATCCGATGCAGTTTTTCATTGTAAATTTTAACTTTTCGTGATCAGGTGTATGCAATTAATAAAGTAAAATCTGTTGCAAATTGTTTTATTGTAAAGTAGGAAAATATTGTAGCATAGATGTAAAAGTATAAATACATAGTTTATCCATTACTTAAACGTTTGCTTTATCTCTTCTCAAGTACTGTAGTAAGACAATGCAACACAATGGTCACAGATTAAGTGTATACTTAGCCCCAGTTACACGATACCGGATTCGCATTGGAGCGACATCAAATTTTACTGCTTCGAGGTGAATTTGGCACTTAAAATTATGATAATATAACATAATTAAACAAAAACGTCGTATATGAAAAGTTGTAATAGCAGACAAGATGTCCGTTGTTTATCATTTGTAAATGTAAGAAAATCCTGATTTAGACAATGTTTATTTTTAAAATTACTTCGCCAATGAACTCATAAGATGGATCGTTTTTGGCGTCTACTGTGGAACAGTAGTCGCCATATGCTGTCGACAAGAGGTTTAGATCATAGGTTTAGATGTCTTAGATGGAGTCACAGTTAATAGACCGACAGTCTATTAATTGTGATGGGGTGGACCACTGAGCTATACTATATTAGGGGCTTCGGTGGCCAAGTGGTTAGCGCACTTGCCTTTCACCTCTGAGGCTGCAGGTTCGAATCGCACTAAGTACCTTCTCAATGCGACTCGAACCCAGTCCTCACGTGAAAAGAGCAAAAGTCAACGCTCTGCCGAAAGCCGTGGGTTTTCCCCGGGTACTCCGGTTTCCTCTCACAGGGAAAGTTGACAGGGTGAGTTAGGTAAAAAGGGCCCACAGTAATTGGCATATGCTGTTGTGGTGACCCTGCCCTAGTTGACAAAGCCAAATAAATAAATATTACATATATTACATGTTACTATACAGCTCAGTGGGGTGGACGGTTCACTTCGCCTGCGAACAGGCTCTTTGGTTGGGTTCAAGCCCGCGCATCGATAAATGGTTTGAAAGATACTCGTTCTCAGGGAACTTTATATATAAAGGCTCTGTCACACTATTGTGTATGAGAACACAAAAATCCTTTGAAATGCCAGCGTATGAGTACCGTACATCCGGCGTACCTCTAGCGTATTCAGCGTGTGCCTAAAGTATGCTTATCGTATAAAGCATACCTTCGATATACGCACAAAATTTTTGAGCATGCTTAAAAAAAATTTTCTGCCTCGCCGTATGCCAGCGTATGCCATCGTATGCGACCATGCTTGAAACGCATACAACCTATGCCTAACGTACCCCTAGCGTATGTCAGTGTATACCGGCGTATGAGTGATATTTTTCATACGCTGGCATACGCTAGTACGATACCGCCTGTCGATACGCAATAGTGTGACAGGGCCTTAAGCGCTTATTGAAGGTTATTTGTCAGTATACTAAAACTGTCTGTACCAGTGTAGGTAGTACCAATGAGAAAATGCTGTGTGGTTATATCAGAAACTCGACGTTTCGAGCGAAGGCCCTTCTGAGTTTGACAGTTGAGAAAATCACTAAAAACACGAGTACGAGTCAAGAAGGCCCCCCCCCCCAGAATAATACTCTGAAACAACAAAAGACGTTCATGGCATACTTTTTAATGCGTGTCATAAGTTAAAATGAAGTTCTAGCATTCTCGCATTCGCCCACAACCTCGTTCCCAGGCTCTTTTAACATCTTTTAATTAACAGGCCCATTCCCGCATATTTCCCCCTTCCCTATTTTAAAGAGAGCCAACCCCCCTGTCGTTTTAAAATAGCTCGGAATTTGTCGACTTGCATCGTACAGTGCCGAGAGATGTCGACGGAGTGCCGGGCATTTCCGAATTTTAATTTTTTTTGGTGAAGAAGTGGACAAGCAAGGAAGAAAAATTGAAGACATTTTTTTATCAAACTTACCTTTATTGGAAGGTATTATGCTTTATTTAATATCAATCCTTGTAGTAGAGTACTTAGATTGCCAATATAGATGGAAATTTAAGACATCGAGCCCGAATTTAATGCGATATTTCGACATAAAGTTTGTGCTTTTGCTTTGCACGTGGTTCAGTGGTTCACTAATATGGGCGATTTTCTAACTTTGTTAAAGTAAATTAAATGTCCATCAAGTGAGTAAAAAGACTACTAAGATCTAGAATTGTTTAAGTTGTCGAAAAAACTTGTTATTTCTGAGTTCTTGCAGAAAATTTTTACATTATAAAATGCCGTGTACAGAGACGAGGTGCTTGGTGCCAGTTGGTGGGACGAATATTT